CGTGAGTATGTCTGCAAACATTGATTCCGTTGGACAGTACCTGACTTCCATCACGCCAGTCGACATCAGTTCTCGCACAAAGTTAAACCGTGTGTGAATGTGTTTGGTTCGTCGACGACCTCGCCTATGCCCTCCATTAGTTTCAACAGTCAGAGTAGCTCCTGACTAGACTCGGATAGCGCAACTTTAGAGATGAACTGGCCTAAGGCTAAAAATCTCTTAAATAAAGAATTAAAAAAAAAAGGATAGCGCAACGTACTCAGCTTCTGTAGAGGACAGGCTGATTGGACCACCTCCGAGCTTAAAAACTAACCCGGAATTTGATTGTCGATCCGTTTTGTCACCAGCCCAGTCTGCATCCACAAATCCTACGAAACCGCCGGTTCCGCCAAGCTCAACCTTCAAGTCAGCTGTTGCGTTGAGGTACCGTAAAGTCCTCTTCGCCTCGGACCAATCCGCTTCGGTAGGTTGGCTCACCTTTCTTCCCAGAAAAGACCGCACTGTACAGCAAAGCACCGACCAGACTCTGGTAACACTCGCCGGATGACATACACTCCTCCTACTTCCCATTTGGATACCCAGGATCCATGGGTATTTTCGCTGGCTTCGCTTGGCCCATGTCAAACCCTTCAGCAATCTTCCGGATGTGAGGTGATTGGTTCAACAAGAAACTGCCGGAACACGTTTGCTCCACCTGTATGCCGAACGTAGGGCACGGGTCTGCTTTGGATTGCTGCTTCAACGTTTCCGTGGGTTTCTGGTTCCAGATACGACCCGCTTGCTTCAGCCCGTATATGCTACGCTTCAACAAACACACCTCCTCCTCAGACCCTACTTGATAGCCCATTGGTTGCTTCATGTGAATGATCTCGGTGAGGTCTCCGTGCAGGTATGCTGACTTCACATCGATGTGCTTGACTTGCAGGGATCGACGAGCGGCAATCGTCAACAGCGTTCGAAGCGTCGTTTATTTGGCTACTGGAGCAAAAACCTCGTCGTAGTCGGTGTCGAACTTCTGACTGTAGCCCTGTGCTACGAGTCGTGCTTTGTAGCGGATCACTTGGCCACACTCATCCAGCTTCTTCTTGAAGATCCTTTTGCATCCGATGGCAGCTTCACGATCTCCCATGTCGAGTTTTCTTGAAGGATTGCGAATTCCTCATCCATTGCCTTCTTCCACTTGTGGCGTTTCTGGCTGCGTGTAGCTTCATCATAGGAACGGGGTTCATCATGCTGATTGGACACTAGTCGGGTGGTTTCTTAATACCACAACGGCAAAACACCTTTGTTTTTACGGCGGGACCGTCGTACATCCTCGGTGGCAGTGTTAAAGTCCTCTCCGGCACTGAAGGATTCATCAGAGAACCCTTCGAAATCGTCTTTATCGGATTCCGAAAGCTCCAAATCGAATTTATCGGCTGTAACAACGGGTTTCTAATCATCCTCAACGGAAATAGGTTTGAAAGGATAAAAAACGATACTTCCCTCGGGAGGCTCGGTTTCCCGAACCTCATCTGCTGGAATGAACCTGGCATCTCGAGATACGACGAGCTTGTTTGTCGCTAGATCCAGGAAACGGTAGCCCTTGTGCTGCTGCGAATAACCGATGAAGGTCATTTTCGTCGACTTTGGGTCCAATTTCGTACTCTTCTCTTTCGGGACCCACACGAAGGCTTGTGATCCGAACAATCGAAGATGGGTGACGTCTGGTTACTTTCCAGTCCACAGTTCGTATGGCGTTTCCGGCGCGGCACTTGACGGCAAACGATTCTGAAGGTAACACGCTGTGTTTACTGCATCGGCCCAGAATTGTTTTGGCATTCTGGCATCAAGCAGCATGAACCTTCCCATCTGAACTGCTACCGAATGCCCTCTCGTCGTCAAAAATTATCTAGCTGCTTGAACTCACCACCTTGGTCCGATCGGATTACTTTCGGTGACCTGCCGAACGTTGTCTTCATCTCCTGCTGCTTGATGTAACTGCTTGCGACACAAACAACTGCGACACAAAAAATACACCAGCGAGTACCGCGTGAAGTCATTGGTAATTGCCATGAAGTACCGACAACCACCTGGCGTTGGTGTGCTCATCGGTTCGCATAGATCCGTGTGCACAAGGTCAAGTGCTTGCTTCGTTTTCTTCTTGGATTGCTTGGGGAAAGGGAGCCGGGCAAACTACCACTGCAAACTACAAACTGCCCTCCAAACAATACTCGCTCACAGCTTTAACACCGCAGCTCACTATCTTGATCCCGGTAGCCAGATTCTTCGATTCCAACTCGACTGCTTCTGGGTCTCCATATGTTTGCCATATGCGCTCCGTGGGTGATTTTTGCTGCCCTTGGAAATCCGACATCCTGCATCGTCGAAAATGACAGTGGCGCCCATCTTCGTTGCAGATCGTACAGAGAATAGATTCGATTCAAGATCAGGATCGTAAAGTGACTCGAAAAACTCCTTGTTGGCTGCCATGTGGGACGTTGCACCAGAATCAACCACCCACAAGTTGACATCACTACCTATGGTTGCTATGAAAGCATACTCGTCGGATCCACTTCGAACTGCCTTCGCCTTCGTAGATCTGCTGGCTTGCTTCGAGTCATGTTTCTTTGGTGGTTCTGCATCCTTGCTCTGGGCCAGCAAACGAGAGTGGGTGCACAGGTAGATTGAGGTTAAGGAAACGCCACTGCTCAAGACATACATAATTATCAAAATTAATCGAGTAAACTAAAAAATTGAGTGTATTTTTCAACCGATTCGAGTATGAATAGGGTTTTGATCTAATCTCCGTCCTACTAAGCACAACCCGCGCTTTACCTCTCTTTTCTGAACGAGTTTAAACAAAAAATGGAATATTTCTGTCAAAGATGACTTCTAAATTTATTCACCTTTCCATACGTACCGTTGGATTTGATAAAGAGTCACAAATTGATGAGATATTGTCTAAAATATAACACTGCTTCTTGATTCTAAATTCGTTCTACGAGTTTCAATTCCGTCCTAACGCATTGAAACGCCATTAGATTTTCTTCGTCCTACGGATAAACGTAGAAAAAGGGGATTCGCTAGGAGCGCTTCTTTTGTTTTGAGAACAATGAGCGTAAATATTCATAAAATGCGCTCTAACAGGGTTTATGTTGTAGCTAATGAACTAGCGCATCGGAACAAACCTATTATTGATTTGTGCACGGTGAAATCATTGATATTATTGATCTTTTCTGATCGATAGAACGGAAATGGGCGATTACGACGAAGTAGCGCTCTACCCTATGGCATTAAATCTGGTTTTGAAAGTTGGTGCACAGGTAAAAAGTGAAGTTACGGATCTTGCATCTCGGTGATGTGCTTGTCGATTTCCTCGCCATCGGTGTACCGCATGTCGCAAAGTTTCTTGAGGATGGATACCTTCAACGTGAGCGTCGAACGCTCGTAGTTCCTTTTCAAGTTCTCCCACGCTTCCTTTAACGTAGTGGAGTCCTGGATCAGATTCCGTTGGCTATCGTTTACCAGAAGACCGATTGTAGCCCTCGCTTTCTGATCACATTTTCGGCACGCCGCTACCGCTGTTGCGTTCGCTTCCGTTTGCACTAGGCACATGCCAGTCACGTACTCCCAGAGATCCTATCGTACCAGCAACAGTTCAACTTTAAATTTCCAGCTGCTGTAGTTCCTTCCATTTCGCAGAGGGACACCCAATTTCTCGATTGTGGCCATTTCCGGCTCTGAAAAAACGACGGAACACTCCCGAACGCGACGAACTTACGCACGGCGGGAAAAAAATTCAATCTGTTTATCGGTTGGGCAGTGGAAGCGTGCTGAGCCCATAACCTCTTGGGAGGAATGGAGCAAAGTAAAATAGCGTCTAGTCCGTTAGAAGAACGAATTTTATTCAAATAAAAATTTGAATTTTATTCAAATTGTTTTGCTGTTTCTGACTGTCATTGCCGGAAATTGAAAATTTCCTTTCATTTCGTTCAGACAAAAATTGTTCAGAGCTAAATTATTCATGATTACGGAAAATACACTTTGAAGTAAATTAATATGAACGATTTGAGTTCATAGTTGAAAAAATCCAAATTGTAAAAGTTTCTATAGAATTTAAGCCAAAATGTCGTTTTGTTTCGCTGTTGTAAGGTATTCATAATGATTGTGTTCATTGATACTAGCTTGCAAATGTTTACTCTGCAATCATGATCCATCTCAACGAAAACAATCGTCATAAAATAAACATCCACTTTCACTACTTGAACCATTGAACGAACATTGGCTCTATGCCCCGCAAGTAAGTGAGTGTACAGCCGACGTTGTTGCAAAAATGTTGTCCAACACAAAAGAGCAACAACAAACGAAGCAAAAAACAAAACCTCGTCTCATCTTATGCCATCTTCCCTAGCAACCAAACCAGCAGCCAATGATTGACGGCGGTGCGCGATTTGTGGTGAATGGCATTGGCCTCCCGATGAATTCACCAGACATACCGGCACAGGAACGAAAATAACTACTTTCGAACCAAGCCATCCTGCCTGCCCTGATGTGCTAAGTGGATTTCCTTGTCCATTGTCTTGTGTGGATTAGCGCTGTTGACAAAACTCTAAACGATTCGACGAACCTGTATCCAAACCGTAATTCGCTGGCATCAACTGCTTCCCAATGTGGTACAATAAAATTACATCGTACCGAAACCGAGACGATGCGTGAAGCCGCTACAGTGGTCGCATCGCAATACAATGCAGCAATGGGAGAAGCGAGCGAAATTATTGTAAGAAAGTATATACAGACTCTGACGAGGTTCGCGAATTATATAATAGTACATCAATCATCCACCTAGAGGTAGGAATGATGCGGCGTACTTTTCTTCTGCAAAATTTTCCACTCCGTGTCAGCCTCTCCTCGGGTGGCGGGTCAATTAGATGCATTACGTATGTGTACAGCAAGAAAGCAATTACATATTACATAGCATGGTTGCAATATTGGATTTCATTTTTCTACTTGCTACTTACTAGATAAGAATAAGCGTTGTCACAATGTTGATAATCAGTCCGACGATTGTGATCAGGTTCGGTGCCAGCCAGAGCGGAACTTTACTGACCAGCCAGCACCACCACGGCTGCAGGAACGGATCCAGCAAGCTTACGTTGCTGCAGGAATACTTGTGATCGCCGAGCTTCTTCAGCTGCGCTGGCTGCAGCAGTTTCAGTTTGTAGAAATACATTGCCTGCACCTTCGATTGGCCCTCAGACACGCTAGCACACTTCCTTTCTCTTCCGGTTTCACGCAACCCCGAACGAGCGACTCTTCCTTCTTCCTTTGCCCTCACAGAACAACAGAATTTTTTATTATATTCTTTAATCGCTTCACTTTTTGCACCACTTACACGGATTCTTCCTTTTTCTTCTTCTTTAGCCACTGATATTCGCAGCCACCAAGAGAAAGAATTTCACCTCTGATTCATCGGATCAAGGAGGAAAATATTATTTTCGAACCTTCCCCGCGGGCGAGAGCACCAACTTCTTATGACGAGCACACGCGTGCTGGGCGAAGAATCACCAGCACAAGATTATTGCCCGCCCCGGACGCGCTCACACGACGGTCCACCGGAGACAGTAGCGGTTCTCGGTCACGATTAATAGCTGAATATTATTTTCTATTGCTGAGCTGCTGACTGGCGAAGGAAAGGTGTGATGACTGATTTTTTTTTTAATTTGTGGATCGCGCAACCACGGACGATACACTGAGCAGCAGCTTTCGTTCGACTGTGACTGGTGACAGATCGCGGAAAAAATCATGCGATTTTTACCGTTCCTTTTTTGTTTACGGCGGCCACTGAACTTAAACTGACGCGTGTGCTACAAGCTGTCAAAGAGGCGCGGCAATCGAGCAGCGAGGTGGCTTTGGGCTCGATAGGTCGAATGGATGGAAGTTGAATGGATCATATCATTCGAGCAGTTTAAAATGATGCTTCCTATCACCCGAAGTTTGCCGCGGAACAATTTTTTTTTTCGTTTTTTTCTTCTACAACCTCGAGAAAATAGGGTTTTATTTATGCTAAGCTGGAAATCGCAAAAGTGCTCGACAATATGATGAATTCAAGCTCGTTCGAGAGTACTGCTCAAAAATGGGTTGGAGTTTCTTCTTTTGAAACGTCAAAGCATGAGTAATTGACCACTTTGTCAAGCAGTTTTGGCGTGACTTTCTACCAGCGATTTCACAAAAGTGGACCAACTAATTTCTATTTTTAATGAAACGCACAAATGTTGGCAATTTTTCTCATGGTCCTAGAAGAAAAAATCTCAAAATAATGTTTTATTTCCAAGTTCGAGTGGTAGTAAACGTCATTTTAACTGCTCGAGCAGTTAAAATGATGTTTACTACCACTCGAACTTTGAAATAAAACATTTTTTTTAGATTTTTTCTTCTAGAACCTCAAGAAAAGTAGCCAACATTTGTGCGTATCATAAAAATAGAAATTAGTTGGTCCAGTTTTGTGAAATCGCTGGTGGAAAGTCACGCCAAAACTGTTTGACAAAGTGGTCAATTGGGATTTATGAATTTGAGTAACAAATTAAACATGGTGCCACACTTTTTCCTTTTGTTTAGTTTCCTCGCGAGGGCTTGAAAAATGAAAATCAATCCCAAAATCCAACCTGGAATCTGACTTGGTTGTTGATTATCTAATGTATCACATCATTCGAGCAGTTTAAAATGACACTTCCTACCACTCGAAGTTTGCCGTGGAACCTAGATGCTACTCTCCAACTAGCAAAAATCTTGTCTCGGTTTTGGTGTATTCAACTGACTTTTTAAGGTTTATCAGTGTTTTTCAAATCTTTGCAATCTATTGCGCAGCTTATGAATTTATCATACAGTGAGTAGAAGTACCCTAATAAAAATTGTATGGTTAATTTGCTTAACGACGTGTTCTGGGTATCATCCAAACCATTTGTGGAATAGTTCAATGTTTTGGGTTATCGTTCGTTTATGGTTATTTTTATTAGGGTAACTTTAGCTCTGAGTTATTTTAATTGGCCGTGAGGTTCTGGCGTTCTGCAATCAAAATCTCATCGATCTGAAGGCCTGCCTGAGTTGCGTCAGCGGGGACTGAACCTGAGGGCTCCGGACGATGACAGTTAGAGCAACATATCCCACGAGGAGCTTGAACATATTCTCACCGACCGGTAAGGTACCGGGCAGCTGTTTTTATTGAACGGAAATGCCAACTCAGAGACATTTACCAGCATGGTGAACGACTTCCTGGAACGTAAGCGTGTATTCGATGGTGTCCATCAGATTTTATTTGTAATTCAGTGCCAACATTTCAAAGGGGCGTAATTGCATTTGTAAACAATGGCTTTAGCCGTCGATTTCTCGCGAATTAAAACTCACTCATGAAAAATAATGACACCAACAGGTAGAGAAATGTTTCCTCTACCAGCTAGCATTATTATTTTGGAGGGGTGAGATTTCATTCGCGAGAAATTGACGACTAAATCCATTGTTTACAAAAGCAATTACGCCCCTTTGAAATGTTGGCACTGAATTGGTTGCTACTTTATCCCTGAGTGGTGCGGAGAAACACGAATTGTTTGTCAAAAAGAATCCAACTGGTGCTGTCAAAAAGAATCCAACGATCTAGAGCTGCTAAAAGTGATACTTTTCTCATACAATCCCCGTCGGCGGAGAAAGTATTGTGGTCAATGTTGAAAATATTGTCATTTCGGCATTTTTTTTACTAATATTCTTCAACAAAAAACTTGCTCAAATACTCGGATGTAAACAATGTAACGAACGAACGAACCTGCACGAGCTGCTGAAGGAAGAATGCAAACAAACTTTATGAGTCATGTGGGTAGGTGCACTCCCAACACCATGTACACGTTATTTATGGAGCAAAGGGTGAACTTTCGACAGCATGTATATGCAAATTGTGAGCAGTGCATTAGCAAAACAATTTGTGATATCGGAAAATTTTCAAGTTGTTTCCTGCTGACTTGCAAAACAAAAACGGCTGTGTTCGCAGTACCCAGCTTTATCCTACATACTACACCAACCATCTCCAGTGAATTTCAGGGGAAACATGTCAGAAGGGTATAACTCGAAACGTAAACAATGACTTTGAACGTTGATTTCTCTTGAATGACCACAAACTCACGGAATCTGACTAGCACTAGCTCATAGAACAAAAATTTCTCTGTCAGATGATTTAGGTAGTTTAAGTGGGTATGTAGTCATTCGTAAGAAACCGACGATCCAAGTCATTGTTCACGCTTCGAGTTAGACCCTTCTGACATGTTTCCCCTGATTTTTTGCATTAAAAACGGAGTAGATTTCTTCGATCCTGGTGAAGATTTTCTATGCTGTCAGCAAAAGCTCCGGTGAGTTTTCATCGGAGCAGGTTTCTGTCGATTCCGGTGGAGAGGAGGAGATTCCAGTCGATTTTTGTGTTTATATTTGATGCTGCCTACCAAAGTGGATTCTTCTGAATTTTCAACGGAGAAAGTTCCAGCCGAATCTGGTGCAGATTTCGATGCTGCCAACGAAGGATCCTTTGAACTAATCTTTCCCTGCTTAACCTGCATCCTCGACAAAGCGTGTTCCTTCGCATGTTCCAGCCATGTTCCAGATTTTTGATGCTGCCAATGAAAGTTCTCGTGGATTTTTCTGAAGTTGTCGACGAACGAGGTTCAAGTTGATTCCAGTTGGCAGCCTCCGTTGACAACATCAGAAAAATACACCGGAACATTCGTATCGAAAACCTCCATCGAGTGCAACCTCCTCCGCCGAAAATGTAGACAAATCCACCGGAACATTCGTTGCAAAAATCTCCAGTTGAATCGACTTTAAACTGCTACTGCTCCGTCAAGAATTGAGAATAAATCCACCAAAAATGTCGTTAAGAGCATCGAACATTACTACCGGAATCAAATTGAAATTGCTCCGTCGAGGAAACAGAAAATCCACTGTTGGCAGTATATAAAAAAATCTCCACCGAAATCAACTTGAACCTTCTCCGTCGTCAACATTAGAAACTTTAATTGTCAAGCTTCAAAACATTCACTGTTAGCAGCATGGAATTTCTGCAGGAGTCAACTAGAAGCTCCTCCACCGACAAACCGACATGAATGACCATAGCAAAAACAATAAAATTTCTGACCAAAGCACACTACTGACATCTGGCTCCGTTTTCGCGGGAAATATTGAGCTAAGCCATGAACCCGCATGCTCGCCCGCATGCAAAAGCTATGAATTGGTTCGTGTCGGATCTATTCTGGACAAATTATTTTTATCTAGATCAAAAAATCCTATGGTTTTGACAGTTCGGATCACTGCCCGTTTAAATCGGCCGTTTACGATTTTCGGGATAAGTTACACGGCGAATGAGAACTCAGCGATGAGTAAAATTTGTCCCATGGTTTTCTGTGGAAAACCTAAAAAATTTGCCGGAAAATGGGGAAATTGACGAAAATTTTATTCAGTCTCGGAGTAGTACCAATAGGCTGAGTGAATCCAATCTTTACTTTTCTCAAATTCGGGAATTTTTCCCTGGAAAATCCTGGAAAAACCTGGGAAAACATGAGGCAAATTAACTCATCGCTGAGTTCCTGCACTTTTGGCGATTATGAGTGAACTAAACTCAAATTTGAGTCGTTCTCATTCGCCGTGTAGAATGAAGTGTCATGTCGTATAATGAGAGAGAGAAGGATTAGTAATTTCCATTTAATTCCACTACCTTATTTGCTTATCCTTGACAGATACGCGTATTTCGTCTACAATGTGCAGACTTCTTCAGTGTCTTGTACTAATACCACAAACGAAGTTACAGACGACTTTCTCCGAAGAAATTAATTAAAATAATGTGGTTCTCTGTAATAGAATTTAAGACCACTTTCCGCCGGTCACCGCCAGGTTCGCTAGTATTTTTGATTTGAATTAATTCAAGTTGGTTTTGTGTGCAATGATCTGGCAACTCGCGTTGACGGGGTGCTGTTTTCTCACTCATCGAAGGAAATTTTGATTAGAGTGAGAAAGTAAGGAACAGTCAGCGCGGGAACCGTGTGCGGTACTATAGGTGCGGCAGAAAGAATGTAGTCGACTCCTTTGTTCTCACGGTGTTCTTACGCATGGTCCAACGTTACGTCACACTAGATTATGCATAAGAACATCGTGATAATGAAAGAGCAAAGTTTGTATGTTTGGGAGCCTCTCGCATTCAACCCCCATTCCCCCACCATCCGATTGAAACGGGCCAGATGAAGTGGGTTTGTGTAATTGAATTAGTGATTTCAAGCTGAACATTGCATTATGTCCTAAGTAACATTGACAGATTCTCTTCGTTGAATTTTTCTTTGCATCACCACGGCCATGTAAAGACATTCCCCGGTATTTTTAGCACACAGATCGATAAAAGAAGCTTTTGTCTAGCATCTAATACGACAAACACATCAATAAACGGTTATGTGATAAAGTTATTTACGAAAGAGAAAGTCGACGAAGATAATCGATCAATGTTACTTAGGACCTAATGCAATGTTCAGCTTGATTTATTAGCAAAATAACCGGCAGCAGCAACATCAGAGTGGCAATGGCGAACATGTGTATTAGTGGTCGGTCCGAATGTGGTTTCTCCCCGTCGTCGTGGTCCGTCCCGCTCTCCTGGTAGAGAACGAGTAGTGGGATAGAAACTAATGGGCTAGCTTTAGACTCTAACGACCGATCGGTATCGGAACGACAACGTCTTTCACCTGCGGAGTTATTGTTCGAGCGATACACAACTTCGACGAGACATTTTAGGAACGTGCTGCTTCCGACTGGCACTTTAATTTTATTGACTGTTAATTAGAACATTGTCGTCGTCTTCATCATCACCATCATCATCAGCAGCTGCAGCAACATTTTCCTGTTTCGATGTATCGCTCGTTTGGAATGTTTGCGGTTCATTCCTGGTTTCCGGATCGATCCTTGAGTTCGATAGTTCAAAAGCAGACGGGTTAAGTTAATTTTAGTCGTCTAACAAACAACTATAGAACATATATATAGAGGAGGACAAGGTCGGTTCTTTCCTTCATCTTCGATAACGATTTTTGGTATCAATTACTTCGGCAACACAGGTCATTATAGGGGCACGTCTTGTCATGTCGGTTGCGGTTGCCGCAGTGTAGGTGGAACGGAACATTAACCTTATTTGTAGAAGTGGTCCTTTAGCCTTATCGATGACGATGCTCGGCTTGGGTGCGTATGTGGCTTGGGTGGAACATTAGCATTGGTTTATCGACATGGATCGGGAGGTGTTCGTAGCTTGCTACTCGTAGATTATGACACTCCGATACGTTGATGGTCATCAAGCCAAAATAAATACACCGATAACTTTCAACTGCAGCATAAAAACAACAAAACGGAGGAAGCTCCCTTTCACAATTAATAATTAATAATTATTATCATCAACCGCTCTGCAGGAACTCCTTCGGGGATCAAAGGACGAAAACCGCAAAAAATGGGATAGAAATTTTGATCCTGCGCCAAGAACTATTTACTCGAGGAAAAGCCAACAAAACAGGAAGTTCACTGTTGGGAAACATAAATTGTAGCACCACTTGCGAACCTCTTCGTTTTTGGAAGTAAATTTCACGCACAGTCTGACGTTTGCTTATGGATTTTACCATAGGAGTAAAGAGCTATATAGATTCGCCGTCAAAGCCAATAGCATCAATTATATACATTAAGCTAGTACATATGAGTAGATAGTGTTGCCGTGAGGTGCACTCAAAAATTTCAAACGTAAGTGCGTCAAATCAAATTTTGAGCCGCTCCGTCTGTCACTTCGTTTGTGCTAATACTCTCATTATACAGGTATTCCACTTAGACGCCCACATTCATCAGGGTGTCATGTCGGTTTGTCGGTGGCTCCTCCGTCACCCGTCAGAAAAAAATCCGGGAGCATCGAAAATGATTACCAGCTTTGCCTTCAATTTGCTCCGTCGACGTCTGAAAACTCCACAGGAATATATCGAATCTAGTTAGCAGCAGAATGAGGCATGACTGATTTCAAATAAACAAAACCAAACTGATATTTATGTCAGATCTTTCCAAAGGTTGTAAAAATCTTACATGCGCTTTTAGAACACTTTTGAACGGATAGCAATGGAAATTTTGGAATGGTTCAGCCTAGATAAGGTTCTTCAAAAGGATCAAGTTTTTTATATATTTTCTGCCCGATTTTTCAGCGAACCCGGTTGTGCCATTCCCCTAGAATTAGCCTTACACGCTATTTTAAAACTACCAAAATTTGGGTAGAATCCACCTAGACCGGTCTGAACGTACCCAAAAATGGACAGTTTAACAAATGAACGACATCGACATGAATCCGATCGACGTTGTTAATTTGTCAACTTATCACTCCCAACATAGTTTACCCATTTCGGGTAGGTTCAGTTTTGACAGATCTGGGTGGATTCTACCCAAATTTGGGTAGTTTTGAAATAGCGTATAGAATACTCCTTTGAATTGTTTAATGATATTCATTGCAACTCTCCTAAAAATGTATTTCCTCTCCAGAATTCCATTAGAGCTACCTTCAGAGTTCGATTGTCTTGTCGATTCGATGTCTGCATAGTTTCCCGTTAATATATCATTAGAATTGTTCACACTGATAAAATTTTAAATATGTAATCATGTAATAGCAAAAAGAAGATACGAATGTCACTTCACGGTGAAAACTTGTCACTTGTCGTCACGGTGAAGTGATTCCCATTTGATTTGTACGGTAATCACGGCTCTTATTCTGAGTATCACTTGCTTATCACCGTGTAGTGACACCCGTAATAAGGCCCAATATTACATCAATGGATACGTTATACAACACAACCGATGGATTGACCTGGTTGCAGAGTTTGGATGTAATATTCAACAACTTTATTTTCTGTGTATGTGTACTTAATATCTGTACACATAAAAGCCATGTGTAACCACACATACTATTAATTTGACTCATAAATTTTGTGTGCTTCTGGGTGGATTCTGTTTATGTTGGTCACATGAAAATCATGTAGAATTTTACATGGAAATTGGTCAATAAAAATGTGTGGAATTATAAATATTAAAGAATTCCTCATAAGGAGGTGGTGCATTTTTCTCAGTGTAGTCGAACTAATCTCCAAACCCCTTTCGACCATTTCGTGACACCACGAAACGTCATCGCATCTTCTATTTTGGTTCTCCGTTCGTTTTCTTTGTCACGGCAAAATATTTTCATTGTGTCAATTTTTTCTCATCCCGTTCTTCTTCGGCAGAGTGCGTGGAGTGGTGGAATCTAGATTGCTTTTTAAATTATTAAAGAGCAATATTGTTCAACAATCTGATAACACACGCAGTAGATATAAAGTGTTCTGCAACGGCTTCGCACCCGTCAGATTGTGGTTGATCACCTAGCAGCGATGGCAGACGGAAACAGTTCGGACGAGGAATTCCCCGACGATTGGACCCTGTACGCCAATCGTCCGGAATGGAGCGACATCGAGCCGCTAAAGCAGGACGATGGCGAAAACCCGGTCGTGATGATTCAGTACAGTGAAAAATGTGAGTAATGAGTGGAATCTTTGAAGGTCTTGAACTCAAATTTGTTTGTTGGCAGTCAACGATGTATTCAGCTATCTGCGGGCGGTCATTTCGAAGCAGGAGAAGTCGACTCGTGCCCTGGGGCTGACACAAGATGCAGCTAGGTTGAATGCAGCCAACTACACTGTTTGGCAATACCGGAGAGATATCCTGAAGGCGATGAATTGCAATCTGTACGACGAGCTGGACTACATTGAGGGAGTGATTGAGGACAATCCGAAGAACTATCAGGTGTGGCACCATCGGCGCGTGATTGTGGAGTGGCTGAACGATCCGTCCAAGGAGCTGGAGCTGACGGAGAATATCTTGAACATGGATGCGAAGAACTATCACGCCTGGCAGCATCGCCAGTGGGCTATCAAGACTTACAAGTAAGTTGCGGGAGGAAAGTAAATATTTGCTGAAATCAAACGTGACTGTCTTATCTTCCTTTTTTACAGCCTCTTTGAAGATGAACTGCAGTACGTGGACCGACTCATTTCCGAGGACATGCGCAACAATTCGGCTTGGAACGAGCGGTTTTTCGTGCTTAAACATACCGGCTTCGGGGCGGACGTGCTGGAGAGAGAGATAAACTACGTCATGAATCGCATTCGGTTGATCAAGAATAACGAGAGTCCGTGGAATTTTTTGCGTGGTATACTGCAGCAAGGCGACGGAAAGTTGGGTCAGTTTCCGGAGATTGTCGACTTTTGCGAAGATTTGTACGATTCCGGCATTCGGACGCCGTATTTGCTCGCATTTCTGGTGGATTTGTACGATGAGAAGTACTTCGAGGCCAGGGAGACCGGCAAGGACCCGGACGAGTACCAGGTGAAGGTGCAGGACCTGTGCGAATCGATGGCCAACCAGCACGACAAGATCCGGTGCAAGTACTGGCGGTACATTGCGGAGAACTTCAAGAGGAAGGTCGACGGACAAGCGGATCAGAATGGGCTCTGAACAAATTGCATTGCGAAGGAAGGTTTTTTTTGTCGATCACTTTAACGATACACTATGATGCCAGCTTAATCCAATCAAACGTAAAATAAATTATGCTAGAGCGGTTTGGTAAACACCAAATTTAGTTCAAGACACTTTTATTCGATGAATCGAAGTCATCTTTACTGTTAATGCCGTAGGTAGTGCCTGTGGTCCCCAGGGCAAGCACTTCACAGGTTCAGTCAAATGTACTTGAAATTTCTTTAAAGGTCTGAGGGACTTCACAGTAAGACAGGTTAATTTGAACAGATAACTTCAATGGGATTGAGTTCTATGGACTGCGAAGGTTAAGTAGTAATTAACACATTTGGGCATTTCTTCATCAACATTTCAAAAGGGGAAAAATTGCTTTTGTAAACAATATGGTTTTGGTCGTCGATTTCTCGCGAATTAAAATTCATACATGCAAACTAAAAGCACCATCAAGTGCTGTTCCTCTACCGATTGGTATGGTTGGTTTACATGAGTGAGCCTTTATTTGCGAGAAATCTACGGTTAAAGCTTGCCAATTCCCCTGCTCTTAAACTTAGAGGCAAATAAGCTTTTACAAACTCAGAGGGAGAGATGGGCGGAGAGAATGTTTTGAGTCAAATGAACTGCCAAAATCTGAGCCAATCGAACATCATCTCAAATTCAACTAGTTTTTGGAATCAAAAACAATATTCTAACTCTATTGATTAATTGATCTTAGTTGGTTAATTAATGGCACCAAGAAATGTGCAAAATATTGCGATGCAATTAATTATTATTTTGCACGTAAATCGAATCAAAAATAAAAGTCATGTGTCATGTTTCTAGCAAGGGTTATAAGATAATTTAGGTACAAATCCCTGCTGCCCAATTGTATTTTGTTTTCTCCGCCTATCTCTCCCTCTGAGTATTTCTATTACAAACATAATATTGCATTCTTGAAATTCTTTGCAGAACAATCAACAAAATACTTGGAAATAGATTATTTTCGTAGTTGGAAATGCTTAGCATCAAATATCAGAATTAAAGTGGACATTTTATACAATAGATGAGGCGATGAAAGTAAAGAGTTGATAGTTCCGTTATAGTGTGGCAGTGTGAAATTTGTATATAGAAAGTAGAAGGAAGGTACGAATCGGGTAGAGCATCTCCTTTACCAAGCTCATCCGTTAACGAGGGATGGTGAGGGGTGTTTCCCCCTGCCACCACTGGCAAAAGGGATGACCGCCGATTCTGTTGTGCGGAAACAGTTCTATCTATTGTTTCACGCTCAAGTCGTAAACAACGCCATCTGACAAAAACAACTACCAGATTCGTATACTATAACGGAACTATCAACTCTATAGTTGAATCTTCTCATCGATCGTATAAAATCTCCACTTTAAGTCTGATATTTGACGTTAAGTATCTCTAACTATGTAAATCGTTAAATTCACGCATGAAGTATTAACACATGATTAGTCAATACCCCTGTAGAGTATAAACCAGCTGTATAAAAAAAAAAAAATAGTAAAACAATCAAGTGTATATTTGTACCAGTGCATTCCAGCAGCCTAGCTGTAAACTCGTTCTGATAATATTCCCCTATTTACATTTCATACTATGTACAATGTACATTAGTCGCTTAGATGCGAGACAGTAACTCAGTTTCCGGAATAAATGGGTGAGAGAACAGACCCGAAAGAAAGACTCTTTTAATCGATCTTCGTATATGGTTCGGTACCCGACTCATCGCTCTTTCTCTTCAAAGAAGAGAATTCGCTCAGAAAATACGAACTAAAGCACGAATAAAGGGTACACAAAAGAAGGAGAGAGCATCGTGTCAAAAAAAACGAACGGCGTGAGTGGAGTCAGTTTTTGGAGAGAAGTTGTTGGAAACAGACGTGTTTGTGCGACACCGAAAAAATTAATAAAAACAAAATGGAGGTAAAAAGAACGGCTGGATGCGACAATGGCGCAAGAGGAAACGCTCCCAAGAGGTAAGTTAAAACTGCATTAGAACCAGGTTGAACAATCACCTGGGAGTGAATTTATGAAAAGCCAGACATCAGCTCTGTGCGGCTGTTAGATTAATTTCTTTGTCCCCTGGGAGGGACTTGGAGAGTATGGCAAAGATAAAAGAAATCGAATTGCAGCAGACATTTTAATGCTCCCCTGGGTGGGACTGAGCTCTGTGAGGCTGAAGAATATCCCCTGTGACGGATTGAAGCTCTGTGCGGCTGTTAGATTAATTTCCTTGTCCCCTGGGAGGGACTTGGAGAGTATTGCAAAGATAAAAGAAATCGAATTGCAGCAGACATTTTAATGCTCCCATGGGAGGGACTGAGCTCTGTGAGGCTGAAGAATATCCCCTGTGACGGATTGAAGCTCTGTGCGGCTGTTAGATTAATTTCCTTGTCCCCTGGGAGGGACTTGGAGAGTATTGCAAAGATAAAAGAAATCGAATTGCAGCAGACATTTTAATGCTCCCCTGGGTGGGACTGAAGCTCCGAGAGGCTGCAATAGTGTATCGGCAGCGAAATGCATTCTTAGTTTTTTTTTTTTTAATCATTTTTGCTCTTTGCGTGCCTACAGTAGTCGTGTGGTACGTATACAGGTATTAGTGAGAGATACAATAGAGTATCGAGTAACATATGCAATTCTCAATACGTTTGATTTGTGGAAGTTGAAATGACGCCGTGGAATGTTTCGAGCAGCAAAAATCGGACTTTGTGTTATCGATTTCTTCAATCGCATACTGTCATATGATAACCGTTAACGACTGTTATTACGATTGTTTTCTAGGGACAGCAAAAAACCTACCAAGAAGGATTTGGACGTCTTGAAAATGGCATTGGAAACCGAAAAGAAGCGAAGCGCCTGCCTTGCTACAAAGTTGAAGAAAGTACGAATGGATAAACGTGAACTTGAAGAATCCGTCAATCTTGGTGAAGCAGCACCTAGTTTCATGCAACGAAACTCCACGATGCATGAGGATCAGCGAATGGGTGTTGGTGAATCATCGCTCATTGCAACAGTGAACAATCTATCTTTGGCGTCAATTAACATACCAGAGTGTAAGCCCAAAGAAAACGAAGATGAGATCGACAGAAAAACCTACGAGAGCTGGATGGAACTGCTGGATGCGTCGCTACAGCTAATCGGTATCACGGACGAAATCACCAAGATGAATATCTTCAAAGTAAAGGCTGGTTCGAAGTTGCTGGAGGTTTTAGAAGGCACTTCTTCCTCCGCAGACTCACCCGACAAAGTTACTGCTCCGTTTTCAAATGCAGTAAGTCGTTTGAAAGACTATTTTGGATCTCGAGAATACAACCTAATGCAACGTCAGAAGCTCCGTTCCATAACGCAGAAAACAGGTGAGTCAGATACAAACTACGTAAAACGTGTGGTTGCCACAGCAAAGTTGTGTGACTTTGAACAACAGCAGCTAACAGAAACCGTTGCCGACGTAATTCAGTTGCACGCCCTGAACGTAAAGGTTCGAGAAGCGGGACGAAAGTTATTGCGTAAAGGTGGAACACTCATAAATCTGGTCGATAAAGTACGGTCATATGAATTGGACAAGGCTAACGAAGAAATCTTTGCAAAAAATCATCCTCAAGCTTCAGCTTATACCGAAGTCGCAGCTGTCTCGTACGGTTAATTGTCAGGTCAACCCCATCGCATAGACTCGCACTACAGATCGCAAGGTACACGCGGTTTTAACCATGGAAATTCAGGATACACCAGAGACTGGCAGAACGTTAGAGGAAGAGGCAGCTCCCGAAGCCATGGAGTGGGAAGAAATGCTCAGCCATCAGGTATCCCGTGCTGGAGATGCACCAGCAGGTTTCATCAACCATCGACATGCCATGCTTTGAACAAAGTCTGCCGCAATTGCCAGAACATTGGACACCTCGAGCGTGCTTGCAGAAATATGCCGGCTCCACCAAAACGACGGAATAGTGAGGAAGTAGATGGTGCTACTAAACCGAAGAGAATTGCGGCAATTATTAAGGAAGATGATGAAAATGAGAAAGACGATAAGATTGTAAGTGAATAATCATCTTGATCATTTAAGTTTGATTTGCGGTTTGAATTTGTTTCCATAAATCTTGTTCGATATACCCTTGTTTCAATAAATATTTCATCAACAACAAATAGAGTTTATATCCACTTTTGAATACTTGATCGTCAAAAAAAAAAAAAAAACTAGTTCGTTAAAAATAAAAATAATAATAAAGTTAAATTCATCACTAATTTTGATCTTACGTAAGTTGATAAACTTAAAATTCGCCTTATCGTTACTTTCCTTTGCAGAGCAAAATACAGGATAACCTGGCTATCAATAGTTGCTCGATTGCAGATTCACAAGACGGCATAGTTACTGGCAAAATTGCTGGGGTACGCGTTGGTTTTCTTGTCGACTCGGGAGCCGAGGTTAACACGATTGGCGAAGATGTTTTCAAGTTTCTCATAAGCAACGTACGGACAAAAGAACAACTGTTCTCGGTAACTGGAGGTACAGACAAACCACTTAGAGCGTATGCAAGCATTGAGGAAATACGTGTGGTTGCGACATTTGTTGCTGAATTACATATTTCTGACGATCGCCCAATATTCCTGGAAAAAATTTATGTCATCGAAAACGCAAGACCATTGTTAAGTAAGAACACTGCACTCCGCTACTCTGTACTCCAGGTAGGACTTAACGTGCCAATCAACAGCTTAGGACAGTATTGTGATGCTAAATTACTTCCTGGAGAAGTATTCGTCTTAACATCACTGAAAGAATTTCCGAAGTTTAATGTGCCAGCCGTTACCCTGGATTATAACAAAGAGATTCCTCCGTCTAGAAACGTCTACACTAACATCCCTCTAGCGTTCAGGACAGAAGCAGAGCGTAGACTGAATGACCTGTTGTCTACAGGAATCATTGAGCAAGTCACCGATACAATGGACAGATCCTTTTGCTCTTCCCTTCTGGTTGTCCCAAAAGGGAAGGATGATATCAGATTGGTAGTAGATTTGAGAGGGCCCAATAAATCCATAATAAGGACTCTATTTAGA